CCCCCCCCCCCCCCCCCCCCCCCCCCCCCCCCCCCCCCAGCAGCAGCAGCAGCAGCAGCAGCAGCAGCAGCAGCAGACCCGCTGCAGCCAGTGCCTGTCGTCTCCCACTGGCAGCTTCTTAACAGCAAACTCGCCCAGCAGCAACTCGTCGAGTTTGTGTTCGCAAAGACAAATTGTGCCGAAGGCGCCGCGGCCAATTTGCTGCCGCTCCAGAAAGAAGCGCGAGTAGTAGCCAGTCACCAGAAACTCCCGCGGGATTGGCTGCGCAAACACTCCTGCTGCTGCTGCTGCTGCTGCTGCTGCTGCTGCTGCTGCTGCTGCGGAGGGGGAGGGGGGGGGGGGGAGGCAAGGCAGCTGGCTCGCTGGCTAGCTGGCTAGCTAGTTGGCTAGCTGGCTAGTTGGCTAGTTGGCTAGCTGGCTAGTTGGCTAGCTAGCTAGCTGGCTAGCTGGCTAGCTAGTTGGCTAGCTAGCTAGCTGGCTAGCTGGCTAGCTAGCTGTTAATAGTGGGAAGCTATAATGAGGCCAGCGAGAGAGAAGCAGCAAACAGGAAAAAGGAGAAAACAGAAAAAGAAACGAAAAGAAATAAAAGAAGAAGAAAGCAAAAAAGAAACAAAAAAGAAATAAAAAGAAATAAAAAGAAATAAAAAGAAACAAAAAAGAAATAAAAAAGAAATAAAAAGAAACAAAAAAGAAATAAAAAAGAAATAAAAAAGAAGCAAAAAAGAAATAAAAAAGAAATAAAAAGAAATAAAAAAGAAATAAAAAGAAATAAAAAGAAATAAAAAAGAAAAAGACAAAAGTCTTTTGCTGCACCTCGTAATCTGCTGTTTCTTCCACCTGCAGGCGTCGCTGTCTGTGCCTTAAGTAAGGATTGAACAGGGCGGGGGGCAGGCCTTGCTGCTGCTGCTGCTGCTGCTGCTGATGCGGCTGCTGCTGCTGCTGCTGCTGCTGCTGCGCGTCTTCCTCTAGAGCAGCAGCAGCAGCAGCAAAGTCGTCCTGCGCGTCAGGGCAAACAAAGGCCCCTGTGTGGGGGTCCCTGTAGACTCCACCGTGCTCGAAAGAAGCCCCCTGCTGCTGCTGCTGCTGCTGCTGCTGCTGCTGCTGTTGCTGCTGCTGCTGCTTCAGCCGAGCAAACAACTCCTGCAGCATGTGGAAATAAGTCTGGGCCTCAAAAGTAAAAGACGAAGGATCCACCAGCTGCCCGCAGAGTGCGCAGCGGGTGATGCGGCTGCAGCAGCAGCAACAGCAGCAGCAGCAACAGCAGCAGCAGCAACAGCAGCAAAAGCTTGGCTGAGGCTCGATGCGGCGGCAGCAGCAGCCGCAGCTGCATCAGCTGCAGCGGCAGCTGCAACAGCAGACACTCTTCTCACAAAAAGCAGCAGCAGACAAAGAATAAAAGCAGTCCACCGAGCAGCAGCAGCTGCTGCTGCTGCAACAGGAAATGCAGCTGCACCAACAACAGCAGCACGGCTGCAGCAGCAAGTGGCGCAGCAGCAGCAACACTTGGCTAGCGAGAGCGCCTTCAGCGGCAAAGCGAGCAGCAGCAGCAGAAGCACAGTAATCCGCCGCGGCAGCAAATGCAGCAGCAGCAGCAGCAGCAGCAGCAGCAGCAGCAGCAGCAGCAGCAGCAGCAGCAGCAGCAGCAGCAGCAGCAGCAGCAGCA